GTTGAGTTACAGAACTAGTCTTGATAACATTAGCATACTCTAACGTGAATTTTGTTACAATATATATATATATCGCCACTATTACCTTAGCCTCTTCAGTTAAAGTTCCTTAGTCTCTTCAGTTGAGCCACCTTTTACTACAATATATATATATATATATATATTGACAACTAATACCCTAGCTTCTTCAGTTAAAGTTCCTTAGTCTCTTCAGTTGAGCCACCTTTTACTACAATATATATATATTGACAACTAATACCTTAGCTTCTTCAGTTATCGTAACTTTTATTATAATATATATATATATATATATATCAACACTATAACCTTAGCCTCTTCAGTTAAAGTTCCTTAGTCTCTTCAGTTGACTCAACTTTTACTACAGTATATATATATAATGAAACTAGTACCTCAGCCTCTTCAGTTGACGTGATTTTTGTTGGAATGCTATTATTTTCTTTAGCTCTCAGCTAAGATGGCTGATGTTAGGATAGATACTAGTATTTCAACCATTTCAGCTCACGTTACTTATGTTACAGTAAATATAAATATTTTGGTTACTTCAGCTGACGTGACTGTGTTCAGAAATGGTTACTTCAGCTGACGTGACTGTGTTCAGTAATGTTTCTGTGTTTAATCATTAATAAATTTTGGGATAAAGTAAGAAAACAAAACGGTCTGTGCAACGTTACACTAATCGAAACATCTGTTGCATAGTAAAATATATCTGAAGTTGTGTTTAAGTTGTGAAGTCACGAGAGTGAGTTTTGTCTAATATAACCGTTATTCACGTGCATAGGAAAATTAAGCCCTGGACACACCCGTAGAGCATAAGCAGTCCAAGAATACTTATTTCTAAAGTACGTTACGAATGCATAATAATCACATAAGATGTGTAAAAAGATGTGCTTGATAGTACCCTAGAAGGGCACACCCTCTCTAATGAGCATGATCTTATTACCATGTAGTCGCTAAGTTTTAAGAAAATGTAATAGTTATTATTATTATTATCTTTTTTTGTTGACGTATTATCAAGTTGTTTCAGGCCGGTCTGAAATTACCAAAACGTTATTGATGTGAGTAAAGTATTACAATGATGTAGATAAGGGATAGAACTCCGTCTAACCAGCGTTTCTAAGTTTCACGTTTGTTTAGTTATATACAATTAATACGTACTGACGTTATTCTTATATATAAATAGGGTACCGTAGGTCAGTAAAACACTTTGTTTGTTATTAAGCAAGAAGCTACGCAAGGGCTATCTGCGCCGTGCCCACCACTGGTATCAAAACTTGATTTATAGCGTTATGAGCTTTTAGACTTATTGCTGAGCCACTGGGGCTTTAGAATATGGAAAGATGTTCGTTTCCTAGACAACGTATGGATCATAATTTATAAATGATATTTCTTTAGGATTACAGTAAGTCCATTTTGTCCCTGACTCGTTAGCGGAAACTGTTTCAAGCAAGTCAGAGTAGTCAGTGGTGTTATTTCGTCAGCAGAAGCGAAGTCTTGCAGGGTGGTGTGATCAGTGACACTGGGTCGTTAGCAGAAACTGTTTCAAGCAAGTCAGAGTAGTCAGTGCTGTTATCTCGTCAGCAGAAGCGAAGTCTTGCAGGGTGGTGTGATCAGTGACACTGGGTCGTTAGCAAGAACTGTTTCAAGCAAGTCAGAGTAGTCAGTGCTGTTACCTCGTCAGTAGAAGCAAAGTCTTGCAAGGTAGTGTGATCAGTGACACTGGGTCGTTAGCAGAAACTGTTCCTCGTAAGTTATCTCTGGGCAGCAAAAGCAGGTGTGTCTTGTAGCGTAGTGTGATCAGTGTTGATAATCGCGTTAGCAGTAACTGTGCTTCAAATGGGTGTGGTGATGTCATTAACTCGAAGCATGTGTTAGGGAAGGCAGTTGTTATATCTTTCTTTTGTTCCGTTCTCTGTTTACACGATGAATGTTGAATGGCTGGAGGTAAACCTATGTGGTACTTCTCACAAGTTTAGATCAAAGTTGAAGAAAACTTGGTATCCTTTTGGATTAAGAAGTCCAAGTCAAAGATTCGAACCTCTTCTAGTTGATCTTCTTCCAGCAACTTATTTTAAATTTATATCACCATGTAAAATGACCTTTAGTTTTTCTAAACCACCGACGGTTTGTTTCAACAAATAATGAACTGTTATACATTATCAAGCTGGTGTGTAGCACTATAGATATTAGGTAAATAAATAATCATTCTAAATGCTCTTTTGCACCTTCTGACTTAGAGCTGCGTCCTTCTGTATATTGATGAAAGTATTAAACTCCATTGGTAAAAAAAACACGTTAAATGTAACAACTAATTAATAGTTGAATTATGAGAACTATCGTCATATTTAATAGTGAAAAGTTTAAGTAAAATGCTTTTATAACTGATAACACACAAAATGCAAGAACACATGTTTGCATATTTTCTAGGAAACGTGTTATTTTATATCTACGTCAACAAAATAATGTATATACCACAACAAAAAGCCAAAGTACTCTTTCTTTTAAATGTTTTTAATATAATAGAGGAAATAAATAATAATAGTGTCTTACGTAGAAAGTAAGTTATTGGTTTAGATAAATAGAAAAACGTTTATATATATATATATATATACAATGTACGGAAATATCTT